AGAGAGAGTTATCCCATCCACCGGTTCACTCCCAAAATGCTCACAACGGCTGCAGCTGGGCCATGGTCAGAGCCAGGAGTCAGGAACACAAATCAAGTCTCGCACATGGGTGATGGGAACCCAATTTCTTGAGCCACCATTACTACCTTCCAGGGTCTACATTGGCCTGGAAATGCAGTGAGGAGTCAGAGCTACAAACTGAACTTAGTCACTCTCATGTGGGATGCAGACATCCACTATGCTGAACATCCAGTCTCTGATTAATCGTTTATATATTCGGAATTCTGAAACATTTCAGGATTGTAGGCAAATTTCTTATTTTTTCCTAGTATTTTTATGGTTTATTTTTAAAAATTAAATCTTTGATCCTCTTGAAATTTATGATGTATCCATGAGAGATAGATCTAGTTTTACTGTTTTTCTGACGGCTGCCCAGCTGTTTTGTTGACTAGCCATCATTTTCTCTCTGATTTCAGATGCTGCCCTTTTCAAATCACATCATTATATAATATATTCCCATATGTAATTTGGTTTCATGTTTGGGCTTTTTATTCTGTATATTCCATTTTTCTGTCACACAGGCATTAAATATCACTCCATTATTTAATCATTGAAGTTTTATAATGTATTATCTAGTAGGGCTAGATCCTTTCATTACTCTTTGTTTCCAGAGTTTTCTTTATTATTCTTGGCTATTCTTCATTCAAACTTAATAATCAACTCTTCAACCTTCATTTTGAAGAAAATCTATTGACAAATTTATTGGGATGCTGCAAACTTAGACTTACTTTGAAAAATCTTCCCAGATACAATGTACTACCCTAAGACCCTGCCTGATTCATCCAGGCCTGGGTGTTTGCAACAACAGGATGTACTTACACCTGAGTTTTTTGGTTGTGAAATGATAATCAATATTCGTGCATTCAATCAACAATAAGTGCCATTTAGCCTTGCAGTAGTCCTCCTTGGAAGACATTTGTCATCTCTCTCGAAGAATTCCCAGGAAAACTGATATCCAATGTAAAAAGCTTCCAGGTGGATGCTGCTTAATTTAAAACAATAACCTCCAAATCTGCTGCTCCTACCTTCTCACCGCCTACCACAAATCAACTGAATGAGCCTATCAGTGGTAGAAAAGATTAATGCTCTCTCGGTACTGCCTTCCACTGATTTAGACTGCTAGGTCTCTGGTAACATCTGCAGACTCCTGACTCTAGCCCTTGCTGTCACAGTGTGATCTGTAGAGCAGCAGCCTTGCATCTGAGAGCTTGTGACTCTCCCGCTGACCTACGGGACCAGAACCTGTACTTCAACGCGATACTGAGCTGGTTCATAAGCACTTCAAAGTTTGAGAAGCAAGGCCTGAGTGAGTCTCAATGCATAGGCCCTGTAGCAGCAGCGGCATCACCTGGAACCATGTAGAAAATTCAGATTCTTGGTCCTCCAACCCTACCCCCATCCCCACCCCGCACACTCAGGGAATTTGGGGCAGCAGGCCCAGCAATCTGTTTGAACAGTTTTCAGAAGATCCTGACGCACACTAAAATTTGGAAACCATTGCTGTAAATCAGGGATTCCCTACCTTGGCTAACATTATTGAAACCACCTGGGGAGTGTGCACAACTCCCCATGCTGAGCATGCAGCCTGGAAATCAGAATTTCAGTGGTTCAGCCAAGTATCGGTATTTTTCAAATTCCTCAGTGATTCCCATGTGAAGCCACGGCTGAGAACCACCCCTCTAATCTGGAACAACGGTTCTCAAACCTGGCTTCAGGCTAGAATTACCCTAAGAGCATTAAAGAAAAAGCAAAACTGAATCTCAGGTTCTTACTTAGATTTAAGCAGGTCTGGGTGCAGCAAGAGTCACTGTTGTATAAGCTTTGTAGGTGACTGAACCAGTGCTCCACAAACACCATTTCCCCTACATACACTAGAAGTCACACTAAAGCCAGTACAGTTTGGGGGAAAGGAAGAGATATATTTTTTAGTCTCCATATATTCTCTGAGCCCTTCCCAGGAAAACTGTGTTAAGCTACTTACTGTGAAGATTAAAAGTAAATACAGACTACAGTTCCTGCCCATGGGGAACATATTTCTATCTGCAGAAAAGACCTGCACGCATTTATAAGTAGTATTTCAAAAGAAACACATCATTTTATATTATTGGCTATAATTAAATAAAACAAATTACACATACCATTATGTTGCTATTAGGTCAGGTTCATTTCCATCCTTAAAAAACATGATGGAGCAGCTGTTTGGCCTGGTGGTTATGACATCAGAGTGCTTGGGTTCAAGTCTTAGCTCTGGCTCCTGTTTCCAGCTTCCTGCTGGTATGGATCCTGGGAGACAGTGATGACCCAAGTGATTGGGTTTCTGCTTCTCACATGGGACACCTGGATTGAGTTCCTGGTTTCTGGTTTCAGTTCCAGCTCAGCCCTGGCCTAGTCCCAACTGTCACCAGCATTTGAGGATTGAAGTAGTGGATGGAAACTCTCTGCCTCTTGAATAAATTCCTTTAAATAGGAATAAGAGTAAGGAAATACAAGCTAGACAAATGGTGAATAAACAACTTTGAAATTGATTAGCAGTAAACCCTGAGTCATTTGAACCTGGAGAAAGTGGTGGAAAATGTCAATAGCCCCCTCCAAGACTATTCAAGAGTTTAAGGACTGAGCAAAGCTAAAATGATTTAGTTTTCTCTGTGGCGTAACACAACGAAAATCAGGTTATGGAATCGCTGACAATCAGTTCACCCAAAAATTGTTTAAAATTAACTTGTAACTATTGACAAAATCAGCAATCAAGAAATCAGCAACTAAAGAGTTTATAACAAATATTTTTCTCTCTTATCATTGAAAATATAACTATCTCTTTTGGTCTCACAATCTGCTTCTCCTTCTAGATCAGCTTCTTTTGAGAACATTTTTAAAGATTTATTTATTTATTTGAAAGGCAGAGGGACAGAATGTGAGGAAGAGACAGGGAAGAGTTCTTCCATCTGCTGATTCACCTCCCAAATGCCTGCAATGGCCCAGCTGGGCCAAGCCAAACCTAGGGGCCCAGAATTCCATCTGGGTCTCTCACGTGGGTTCAGGGCTCAAGGACTTAGGTCATTTTCCACTGCTTTCCCAGGTGCATTAGCAGGGAGCCTGATCAGAAGTGGAGCAACCAGGACTCTAACTGGTGCCCATATGGGATGCTGGTGTTGCAAGTGGTGGCTTAACCCACTTTTCCACAATACTGGCCCCAAGAACATTTTTTAAAGTAATGAAAACTATTGTCTTGGACTGTGAGAAATTACTAGCTGTGAATATTTCTCACAGATATTGGACAGATGGATTTATATTTTTAAATGAACAATTAAAAATTTTACATGGCTTTTATAAGACAATCTTTAAACTAAAATTGAGTAAATTATGTTGAAAGCTGCTGAAGAATTTGTTTTGATAATTCAGCTAAATCAATGACATCCATTCCTTTATTTTAATGTTACAATGGCAAAGGTGTCACACAATCCAATAACATGATAAAGAGTCTGAATCAAAGAATCCATGAGTGTCCATCATTTCAGCTATGTTGTCCATCAGGAAATGCTTAGAGGCCAGAACAGGTTAGAGTACTTTAAATAATTCCAGCTAGGATCTAGAGCAGAGTTGAGGGTATTCACATTAAATTTAATAATCTCTCCTTCATGTCCGAAAAGGGCCCCATGTTAGTAGGTCATGAATTTCAAGCCATTTTCCAAAGAGGGTGGTGAATTCTGCGGATCCAGCCTCTCCTGTCTGGTCTGTGGAAGTATCCACCAGGAGGTGGGCTGATAAGGCCTTTCTGTGCTCCCATGGAACAGAACCAAATTCACTGCCTCCAACAGGGTGGGATCAATCATTTGGCATCGAATTTACACTCAAAACAACCAGATGAGGAAGAGAGGGCATTTAATATTTTCTAATTTTTTTAAGGTTTATTTATTTATTTTGAAAGGCAATATGAGAGACAGAGAGAGAGAGAGAGAGGGAGAGAGAAGGAATAGAAAGATATTTTCCATCTGCTGGTTCACTCCTGCAATTGCCTGTAATAGTTGGAGCTAGCTGGGGCTGGGCCAGGCCAAAGCCAGGAACTCAGTCCAGGTCTCCCATGTGGGTGGCAGGACCCAAGTACTGGAGTTGTTATCTGCTGCCCCCCAGGGTGTTCATTAGTAAGCAGCTGGATTGGAAGTGTGGTAGCCAGGACCTGACCAGGCACTGTGACATGGGATGCAGGCTTCATTGCTCTGCCACAACACCTGTCCCTAGTTTTATAGATGGAGAGACCAAGGTTTAACAGTATCATATCATTTAAGCAGGTCCACAAAGTATGATGTAATGATTATCAATGACTGTTGCAAAGACAATAGAATCATTTGAATAATTTTTTTATAAAAAAGAGCATGCTGTACCCTGTCCCCTCCCCTGCCCCCACTGCCACCATGCTGTACCCTGTCCCCTCCCCCGCTCCCACTGTCACGATCACCCTATATGAACACAGAATCTGAGTGGAGAATCACTTATGCACAGGAGCTGTAGCTACTGATGTGAGTCCATCACATCACCTCCCTTGTGTTGGGGCACTTAATAGTCTTGAAAAACCATGCTACGGTGGAAACAAAGGCAATTATCATAGGGAATCAAATACTCATTCCTAAATCTATCAGGATACACAATGTTTAAAAATTCTCTAATTCTTCTAATAGAGATATTTCGGATACAATAATTGAATTAGCAGTCACAGCACTGCAAACCATCGATTGCTTTTGTTCTTGATGTTAAGGATTTGAGGAATAATTCTCATTCTACAAGAAGGGGCAGCCCACAGGGCCTAGGATGGAAGCGTTTTTTCCACAATGCCAGGTGGTTACAGTGACACCATCGCCCCAAAGGAAGAGCTATTCAATCATCTCAAACAAAAGCAAATTCCCATTTAGTGTTTCAGAAGAGATAGTTAGGAACCCTCTACTTACCTGCTGCAGGTGAGTTTCCCCCCTTTTTTTATTGTGAAGCTGAAGATAAGAGTCTGTTTTAGGAGTGGGCAATCCCAAGGTCAGCTTATTTTTCTCTACAAAATATTGTTTGGGCTTCTTTCGCCGACGGCCTCGTGATTCCGACAGGAAAACCTCATTATGTGAACTTGAACTCTTCACATACTGAGAGAGGTTGCTGGAATCCTCCTCCAGGTCGCTATCGCTCAGCTCGGAAAACGGCTCACTGCAAGGAGTGCTGTGCTCATAGTGTGTGCTTAAAAATTCACTCCCAAGTAAGGAGGCTGCACTCTGTGGACTCTGCTGGCTGTCTTTCCCCCCTGAGAGCTCCGCCGATGTCTCCTTGGAAGGCTGAAGTGGATCCAGAGGCAGGTTTTCCAGAGAGCTCTCTCCAGACTCCGACAGCCCTTCCAGAGCCGACAGCTGCCTTTCCTGTTTCTTATTCCAGTTTGGGTCATATTGGAGGTCTGAATATTTATCTTTCATTGGTTGTTGGCTGCCCAAAGCAGAAAAGAAATGGCAAGTCCTCAATCAAAACAAGTTCACTCATTACAGTCCCTTGATCATTTTATTCTAAATCAATCTCCACCTTTCTTCCTTCTTTACTTTCACTATCTGTATGTTAGACATAGCTCAGCTCAGATTAGATCCCTTCCCCCACCCCTGACAACACATAAGGGCAAAAAGGTCTTAATTATCCAAGTTCACTGAAATCCAAAATAAAATTAGAAGATAGTTCAATGCTAAATGTCAGAACGACCGAGAAACGAAGGCCACTAGGTTAAGTCATGAACCACTGTAGCTCAAAGGGTGCTGGGCACAGCAACAGTGACTCAGTGTTCAGATGGTGAAGATAGAATCGTCATCCTAGCTGGTGATATCCACATCTGTCTATATATAGGAGGGGAAACCCAGACTGTCACCTAGATAACATTTGCCTCTGCCTGCCCCTGTGGGAAGGAAAGCCAGGTTTTATCCTGATGAAACACCCACAGAAGATCATTTTTCTTTTCAGTGACTTTGCTTTTCACTGCATTTTGTTGTTGTTATTTTACCAAGGGAACTACAGAAACCTCCCCAAGCCTCAGAATCAGACTGTGTCTCCCTGAAAGGTTCATGGTGTTAGCATGAGAGCCCAGCAGACAGGTCAGGGTGTGCTCACAGTGTAAGGCAGCCCTATTTGAATAGAAAGTCAAGCATGTGGTCCTCCCTGGGGGGAGTGAAGAGTCCACAGTCAGTGCACCTGACCCCAAATGAAGTCCTCCCTTTCCTCATGACAATCTCAATTTGTAAAGCACCCCCTAGTCTTAACCAAAAAAGAAAAAAATGCCAGTAATATGGCATATTTAATGGCCCCTTTGATCTTCAAAAGCTAAATGGGAGAGATTTTCCTTCCTTGAGTACAGTGGATGCAATCCTCTAATCAAAAAGAAAATGTAAATCACCTGGGCTTTTTATGCTATTTGATATTCCCGTTTACAGAGGACATAATTTTATGCTGGGTAAACAAACTAATGGCCCCTTTAATGCTAATTTACTCTTCTTAATGTGGACCTAGATTTCTTTGATTTGATGGAAAGCAAAAACCAGAGCAAAAAGCCAAAACTCCCATGCCTTGCTAAATTGTCATTTTGAATTTTTTAGTTCACATATTAAGATAAGAAACTTCTTGAAAACAGGCTGCTCTTCCTTTGCCAACATGAGACAAGCTCCAGTCTCCTCCAGTGCAGTGCCCAGATGGGCACAGATCGCACTTGTCAGAATACGGGTCTCACCACGCCTTGAGCCCTACAGGGGCGGCCTGGTCCTGGGGCCTGATGAGCAGGGTTCACCTGGAGGCTGTCCCATCTTAGGAGCACACAGGCCCTCTCTGCCTGGCCTTTCACTTGGCTCTGAAGTCACCAGCACGTACACAAGACATGATGTGGTCCAGCAGGGCATAATCTAGACGTGAACCAGACAGACCTGGACCCATATTCAGGGTCTCTCTCTACCAGTTATGTGTCCATTGCAAATTGTGTCACCTCCGAGACAGTTTCTCACAACTGTAAATACGGATCATTCATATTCACTGTGTTTATTTCACAGGGCTGCACAAATGCTCTATCACTGTGCTCACTGAGCTCTCCAATGGTAAATTTGTCTTCTCGCCTTTGTAAGCTCCTGGGTTCTGCCTTCATAAGCTCCCCACGTATGTCCTAGAACACTGTACTGTGGAGGCACAAGTCAAAAAAATGCATCTATGGGCCAGCATTGTGGTGTAGCAGGTTAAGCCAGCCATCCCATCTGTGTGCTGGTTTGAGGCCTGGTTGCTTCACTTCTGATCCAGCTCCCTGCTAAAGCAGCAGAATATGGCCCAAGTCCTTGGGCCCGTGCACGCAAGTGAGAAACCTGGATGGAATTCTAGGTTCCTGGCTTCAGCCTTGCCTAGACCTGCCTGGCCACTGGGGCCATGTAGGGGTATAAACCAGCAGATGGAAGATCTCTCTCCTTTCTCTATAAACCTGATTTTCAAATAAATAAAAATAAATCTTAAAAAAGGAAAATGCTTATAGAATAACAACTGTTGACTCTAGTCAACTCTTATATAGCTTTAGATTTAAATTAGGATCTAAACACACAGAAGTTTTTTGCATTGAACCAAATTAGTGAATGAATTTAGGGCTTATCTTGTACTAAGTTAAACCTAAGGTTTGAGTGTGATTGTTTAGTAGGAAGAGAAAGCTCACGAACTATCTTCATAAAAATGAATGCTGTGTGTGTGTGTGTGTGTGAGTGAGTGTGTTTAATGAAGAAAGGATATGTTTTCCCACACCCATGCTATGCTGTTGCAAAAAACTGAATTTAACTTTCACTTTTCACTAATTTATAAAGTAATTACTGAGCAATTACTATGCTTGGGGTCATAGTAGCAAACGGTACAGCATTGGATTGGCAGCCTACTAGGGGTAGACAAGGGTGCAAGCTGTGAACAGTTTGGAGTGATGAGCCAACAAGCATGAGCTATCAGGACAACTTGGGTGGGGCATCCAATCTTGTCCTGGTAGATGGGAGAAAGGCTTCTGGTAGAACTGATGGCACAGTTGAGACCTAAGGCCAAAATGGGCAGGAGGTGTATCCCAGGTTGGCAGGATGGCATGTAAAAAGGAATGGAGTGGAGGGAATATAGTCCCTCCAAAGATCAGCTTTTGTATGGATAAAACAGGGGAAACCTGAGAGGTAGAGTTCAAGGTTAAGTAGAGGTCAGATCTTGAAGGACTTTGTAAACTCTGTGAAGGCATCTGGGCCGAGAGTTTAATCAGAGAGCAAAGGCTGTAATAAATACTTCTGGACAGTTGAAGTGGTGAGTTTCTGGGAGAGATTATGAACAGAAGCAATAAAATCTTTTTTGGAAAGAAAGGTGGTCCTCTACTTTGTGTTGCGTGGAGCAGGCTGGCCACCTTTGTTAGGTGACAACACCAGGGATCTCGTGTGCATTATGTATTGTATGCTGATCCAAGGGATGCTTGCAGTGACTCTTCAGATTGATCCTTACAGTAACTCTGAGGGAAGGACTATTATCCTCATTTAGTACTAGAGAGAGCTGAGGGTTTTGGGGCTTAAGTAAGTCTCCCAAGGTCACAGAGCTTACAAGTGCAGGAGCCAGAAGAGAGGCCCTGGCAGTCAGCTCTGGAACCCGACTCCCATCCAGTGAGTTGTATTGTGTCACTCCGACAGGTGGTAATCAAGCAAGTGTGTTGCAGACTCTGCCCTATGTGAGTTACTGATCTGTCAGTCAGTCGGCAGATGATGTACTGAGTACCTCCCTAGGTACAGGCAGACTATCAGGCACAGAGGACAAAGCACGGAGCAAAACAGAAGCAGACTGATAGATCTTGCCCTCCAGTGGGGAGGACAGGCTTTAGGTAGCAACTGTACTGATTAATTAGGTGCATAAAGAAACAAAGAAATATAGGATGCTATGGGTACTCAGAAAGGAGGACCCAACCTTGCTTATCACTGGAAGTATGTTACCCTTTTATTTCTAGATCCAGTTGTTAGATGATATGTCAAAGTCCACTCCAACTCCATTTTTCTCTAAGCCTGTGATAGACTCATAAAAGAATCACTAACTGAGCAATGCCAGGATTACTTTTTTATCGGTGATCTTCAGTGACAGAGGGGAGTGGATTCCCTGACTTCAACGTCTGCTGTGACACTAAGCGAATTGGTGCACTCCAGCTGGTCACCATGTTTCTGAATTTGGTTCCTGATACCAGCCATTCCTATGTGAATGTAGGCAAATAGTTTACCTACTGTGCATCAGCCTCCCTATAAGTAAAACAAGGGTGACAGCAGTACCTTCCTCTCAGTGTTGAGAGGATTAAGCAAATTAGTATATACAAATGCACAGAACCGTGCTCCTGGCACAGAGTAAGGATTCAGTGAGGGCTAGCTAGGGAGGCTGGTCTTGGCTTGCTGAGGGTTACGTGTGGTCCCCATGACATAACAGTGTTGTTGTGCATCGTACTTCCTGCTGATGGCTCTCAAAGGGATTCTTCTCTCTCCAGGGCTTACGTTTGGAAAAATGTTTCCAGGGTACAACATTATCTTGGGATGCACTGAGTGGTAGTGAAGAATTAACACTGTGGATTACATCTGAACAACAATTTAGGAAACAGGATTAAGAAATGTCAGTGCTTCCACATGATAGACTTATTTTTAACATCTGCTGAAAGATAATGAGGAAGATAAAACTGGGAGAATGAAATTATTTTAGACCTATAAAAAAGCTGAAATTTCTAACCGTGACAAATTTCCACTCTTAGATGACTGTAGAAGAAATATCATATACGACAGCAAAGATTGATGTTTAAATGTAACCTGGACAAGCCAGAAACAAACCAGAGAAAACAAGTTGCTGAGGCTGGGAAACATGTTTTTGAACCAACTGTTTGGAGAGAAACTCCCAGAATGCATCCAGAGGAGGGTAGAGTCTGAAACTGTGGCTCTCATAAGAGCTTTCGTGAAACTGTACCATTTACACCTGCAACGCCTGTCTATAACATCCCCTTGCTGAATGCAACAACCTATGCTGAAACAAATGGGAGGTTGTGCTTTGCAAAATCATGAGCATGGAAAGCTGGAACACTTCACAGAAACAAACCTAATGGTTGGGATAGAACATGATATTAGAGAATCCCATTGTTCTGGGCTTGTGTGCTAAGAAGCTCCATTGTGTTCTATGGTCCAGGTCAACACACCGGGACAAAACGAGCCTGAAGTGTCCTTTCATAAGTAATCATTTGTGCACACAACATGCACCTCTTCCCCCACCCTGTTTGATAGAAAGGTTACACAGACAATGAGCACACAACTCTTTTGTTGCCATTCAGACAACAGATGCCGGGGGCTCCTCTTCAGATCCTAGGTTAGAGACCCAAGCGCTGAGGGAAGGGGTGGGAGTTATCTCACATGCATAGGCCATGATATTTGCTGGCTTTAATGGACCCTATT